TTGGAGACCAACTGAGCTGCCCTTCCCTTGCTGGAGAACTGTTAGGGCACTCCCATCAGAATGTGGGCTGAGGCCCAAAACCAGGTCAGGCCTTGAACATGGTGGGTAGTAGTTCATCCTTATGGCTTGCACTCCCACCCCAAACATCTCATTGAAGGTTCCTTCTTTCAGGCCAAGAGTTATGGCTATGGAGTTCAGTAGGTTCTGGCACAGCTTCCTCACTTCTCTTGAATAATCTTCAACAGTTCCACTGCACCCCAAATATAAGGACAGGGGGAAGTTAGTTAAGGTTCTAAGAAATTTTTTACGATGGACGCCACAAATCGTTAAATATTGCAAATCGATATCACTAAAATGATTTTGTTTCTCTTTATCGGAAAACATATTCTTAATAATTATTTCTGAAGAGTTTTGTTTACTATATAATAAACTTATATCTCTTTCTTCTCAACTTTAGTTGACAAAAACAAGGAAAAACACCCATATACTTCCACTTCAACATAGTGCTATATGAACAGTAAAAGGAAGAGGGAAAAGGGTAAGACACCAATCATTTCATAGTTACCTGAACTTGGGTGGATTTTTGGGCCATAGCTTTGGGTTCCTTATAAACTGGGGCTCAACTCCAAGAGCAAACATGTTGCACCAATCAAGCTTTTGGTCCTCAGAGAACACAAATGCCTGACCATACCCTTGAACTGTCCCTGCCACCATGGGATACCTCTGCTTCTCCTCCAATGGAAGCATGAAGAACTCCTTTGCCACCTCTTCTATCCCTTCAACTAAGCTCAAATCGATCCCATGGTTGACTACCTGATCAAGAAGTGAGAGATTTCGTGAGAATTTTCCGGGTTCATTACCAAAAAAAGACAATTAGGAACGAAATAGTTGTATTAACGTACCTGGAAAAATCCCCAATCCTGACAAGCTCTCTTGAGCTTCGAAATCTCTGCTCTCCATAGACCTTCATCCTTGTCCACTTTCATGAGCTTGGAGAAATCGATGATGGGGACTTCATAACTATCATGATCATGAGCAACACAAGCTATCGGAGAACGGTTAGCGAGTTGAAGTGTTGGCCTCTCGGTTGCATCTCTCACGAATCTCTCGGGAACCAAGGTTGGCTTAGCCTTCCTTAGCTCTTGAACATCATCGATATGGCCGGTATTGATTTGGGAAATGGGCACAGGAGACATTATTGGACAATGAGGGTGAGATTCAAAGATGAAGAAAGGGAGAGAAAGGGAAAATATCAAGAGGGTTCTAATGGTTGGGAATTTGGTGATATCAATCATGTACACAAGCTATGGTATTTATAGGGATTCTGAGGGCTTTTCTATTGGAAGTTCTGCAATTATTTATTTGTCTATTTTTTTCAAACACAAACATGTTGCCCAACATTATTATGTAGCCGTGGTGTGTTAGGCAAGTGGATGCATTATATGGGTGTTGGAGAGGGACCCATAGCATGGACTTTACAGTTTGCAAGAGTTCCATACAAATTTGTACAAACATGAACAAACAGGGTGTAGGGTTTTACTAAAAAAAATTCAAGCACCCTTTCTTCTTGAATAAAAAATCATTGAGGTTATGGTGGAAAATGATACTATGAAGATAAAGTGATTCTTAATGCGGTGTAAGAGTATCTAATCGAAAGTTGGTATCTAATTAACTCTCAATATCGTAGTCATAAGTGGGGTCAAGTGGTTCAGGAAATGTCTTGTGAGTTGTGACATTCCCATAAATTTTGAAATAGCACGATTGACCTTATATGATAGTGTTAAGGATCTAAGCACTAAGTCTCCAAGTCAATAAAATATGTTTACGAACTAAATGGCAATTCATTTTTATAAGTAATTCTATAAATTCTATTAATTATCATCTTAACGTTAAAATCAAACCCCGAATTTTGAAATACCTAAATCCCTAATCAAATTTGTAGCTAATGTTGACTTTATTGGTTCCGGTTGCATGTGTTGACATGGTAGCTAGTTACATTTTTTAGCTACATCATGAATTAGTTTATGGTCGAATATGTGATCAATACATAAATGAGATATATTGAAATAGGCCTATTTCGAAGTGTACATGAGAAATTTGTTTGACATTTCTTTCAAAATATTAAAATATTTTGGGTTGTTTATGAAAATTAAACTTGTATTAGTTATTTTTTTTAATGAATTGTACTGCATAGATATTTCATAGTAACTTTTTTATATTTGGTAAAAGGATATTATTTATTTGATTTTCTGACTCCACCACTGATGATTTAAACATGAAATTTAAAAAAAAATGATAATTAATTTATTTCCGATAATTCAGTTCAATTATTTCACCTAAACAGTATGGCATGCTCAATTTGGAACTCTCTGTGAAAAGAAGAAGAACATAAGGGGTTTAGCATGGAAAACATGAAATAAGAGGGTAGAATTTTTGCAGCTTTATCATGGCACTGTCGGCTGTTCTGTAGACCATTTTCAGTCCAAGTGTTGTTATCAACCTTCACCAAGAGGGCTATTATTGAAGAGGGAGGCTTCCTCATTGTACTCACTTCCATCTTCTTCTTCTTCCTTTTTTTAACATATACAAGGGTTGTTACATGTAATTTTAAGCTTAATTCATATCGCAGATTGTTCTAGTAAATTCTCTTTAGAGCTTCATAAAGAGTTATAAAACGCAAATCACTCATCTCATGCTCTGTGAATTTACAAAATATTCATCTAAGTCTGAGTCCATTTAAAACAATATGTTGTACTTCGCAGTTATATAATTCATATTAGATTCATCATAGTTCAATGAGAAACAAAAGACTCTCCTAAAAATCTCCACCTACCTTGAAGCCCTAGGAGCTAGATTCTTTTTGTTTGCCTTGCCTACAACTTTACCATTACCACACTCCATTGAACTTTGATTATGGATCTATGATTACCCCATCTTTCCACCAAGATTTGACCATATGAGTGTCTCAATCTTGTGGAAGTGGAGGGTGAAAACTGAAAACCCATTACCATTTTTTTTTTTTTACAAATGGAGTTTTACCCTCTGTTTTTGTAGGATGGAAAAGCGAGGGAGGGAAAAGATTTGGGAGAAAGTTGCATTTCCAATGTGTTTTCCGCCGTTTGCGAAAGACAACAACAGTAGTGAGAGAGGGAAATAGCAAGGAAAATGTACTGTTTGGACCATACCTCCAAATTGAAGAGAAAATGAAGGAAAACTCATTGGCTTCTTTTTTTTATTTACGTTCACGCACCATCTCTCTTCTCTCTCTTCTTTATCCCAAAGAATCATAACTTTTCTCTTCTTTCTTTCTTTAATTCTTTCTTTCTTTTTAATACATAACCTTTTTGCATATAGTGGCGATAGGTCTTTAGGAATAGGATTAGATAATTTTTAATAATTATGATTATTAAAAAATATTTGGATATTATGAAACAAATTTAAATCGAAGTGCAATACATACGAGCCCTTGTTTTGATATAAAGTTATATGTTATTACTCATAAGTTAAATGGTTATGTAGAAATTGGTTATTCATAATATTCATTTTCTCATTTTTTGCATATACTTATTATTACATAATCAATAAAATAACATATCTATCACACTTCCCTATATACTTTTTCCCTCCCACTATCTCTTTCACGTTCCTCCATAAAACAACATTTTCTCTCCAATTCCCTTCCCCTCCTATTTTCCTTCACCTCCAAATTTTCCCTCCCTTCCCCTTCTTTTCCTCCCCTACTTCGAAAACAGGGGGTTAACCTTGGTAGAATTCCCTCAACTTCCTTTGGGTTCTACTACTGTATTGGGTTATGGAGAAGGGCAAGTGTGACCTAGTGATTGAAGGGACAGTGGTGCTTGGGAATCTAGAAAAGCTAAAAGCTTGGATACTTTCCTTTACTGAAAGAGTGTGAGATCTTCTATTAGGTACAAAACCACTTGCCTGTTGTTTTTTGACTCCATAATGGAGAGATTCATGGAGGTGATGGGAAGGTCCAGCTCCAATAATGTGTGAATGTGCCCTCTAGTGACAAGTGCCCTTAAGAGAAGACCAACTTTTGGGACAATTTGTGAAGGAAAATGGCCTTAGAGTACGGTTGTCCATTCATTTTTTTTTTCAGTTTCTAGTGTCTTTCCTTTTCCTCTCTATAGTTTGTGTTCTTTCACAAGTCTATCTCATCTTGCATCTCCTCCTCTTGATGTGTTTGACTTCATTACTACTACTAGCTAGTTACCAATAATGTATCTAGTTGGGATTGTGGAATTTTTACCAAAAAAGCACCATCAAAGTTGAATAGACGAGTAGTCATTGTCACCCGATTTGAACAAAAAATTCTCACTTATTGAGTTTGATTATGTCTTTGATCTTACAAACCCAATAAGTTATTTTGAGTTGAAAAGAAACTTAGAGACTTATTAATAAGTTTGATATTATCTCTTATTTAATAAATTTTTTATGTGCACTTAAGAAGTTAATTTAATCAAAAGGTTCCTTACTGTCGTACCGACTTGCTATTATTTTCCCTTAAATGTATTGATTTAATTCAATTTTAATTAGTAATTTAGCTAATTTATGTTTGGTTGCTGATTCTTGTTGCTTTAGAAAGGGTGAGAAATAAAAAGGAGAAGTAAACATGCTTTTAATATATCTATTTTCAACGATGAATACAGAAACTTGAATAGATAATAAACGCTCACTTAAGAACGTCAACGAGTTGGCCTAATTATATTGTGAGAATGAGAACATCCACCACATTCTAAATTCGAATTTTGGGACCAACAACCAATAAAAAGAATTAACGCTGACTTAGAAATTATAATATTATTTATAAAAAAAAAACAAAGAAGGCGGGAGCTCATCACAGGAAGGCCGAAGTTAGGCCCAAAATCGAGAAAATGACGGGCTTACTGAGGCTTTCTCTTCCAATAAAAGGTAAGCCCAGAGAGGCCCAACTGACATATGTTAAAAAGGGCTTTCCGTTCAGGGTTCGTTCCCGCGGGCAAATGAAGTGGACGCTTAACCGAAACTTCCGATTCCTTGGCTCGCAGCTTTCCCGCCAAGAGGAATCTCCATCGTCCCACCTCAATCTCATTCAGCAGCTCCGGAACTGCAACGATGTCCGATCAGTATCCTCCGTTCACTGCAGCTTCTTCAAATCTGGGCTTTCAAAAAGCGACACTTTTGCGGCAAACCATCTCGTCAATGGCTACGTCAGGCTCCGAGAAATCAGCCTTGCCCACCGCCTGTTCGATGAAATGCCTGAACCAAATGTCGTCTCTTGGACCTCCCTGATGGCTGGTTATGTGACCTCCGATCAAGCCGGGCTCACTCTGGGGATGTACGTGAAGATGTTGGAGACATCAGTTAAGCCCAATGACTTCACTGTTTCCACGGTGGTCAAAGCCTGTTCGATTCTGGCAGAGCTCGAAGCCGGGAAGAAGATCCACGCCCATGCTGAAGTCATGGGGTACGGAACCGACCTTGTGGTATGCTCTTCGTTGGTTTGCATGTATGGGAACTGCAACGATGTTGATGGGGCCAGGTCGGTTTTCGATTCCATGGATCACAGGAACATTGTTACCTGGACTTCAATGATAGCGGCCTATGCACAGAATGGCAGAGGAAGTGAAGCTCTTGAAGTTTTCAGGCTTTTCAATTCCATGGTGAGGGTACGTGCAAACGATTTCATGTTGGCAAGTGTGATCAGTGCTTGCTCGAGCTTGGGGAAGCTTGTTGCAGGGAGAGCATCGCATGGAGCAGTGATTCGAGGTGGGCATGAGGTAAACGATGTTGTCACGAGTACACTTGTCGATATGTATGGCAAAAGTGGATGCTTTGATTACTCATGGAAGATTTTCAAGAGAATCCCTAACCCTTCTGTGGTGGAGTACACTTCGATCATAGTTGGTGCTTCCAAGTATGGACTTGGGAAGTTATCAATCGAACTCTTCGAAGAGATGGTCGAGAGAGGGGTCAAGCCAAATGATGTCACATTTGTTGGAGTTTTGCACGGATGCAGCCATTCTGGTCTTGTGGACGAAGGCCTAGGGTTTCTGAACTCCATGCTCGAGAAGCATGGAGTAGAACCCGAGGCAAAGCATTATACCTGTGTAGTGGACATGTACTGTCGAGTGGGTCGTCTCGATGAGGCTCACAAGCTAGCCAAGTCGATCCACGTGGAAACCCCCGCGGAGGGGGCTCTCCTTTGGGGCACCCTGCTATCAGCCAGCAGGCTCCATGGCCGGGTGGACATTGCTCAGGAAGCTAGCAGGCGATTGATCGAGTCCAACCAACAGGTGGCAGGCGCATACGTGACGTTGTCAAATGCATATGCATCGACAGGAGAATGGGAGATCGCTCATGGTTTGAGGTCCCAGATGAAGCAAGCTGGCGTAGTGAAGGATCCTGGGTGCAGCTGGGTCGAGATTCGTGATTCCACATTCGTGTTTCACGCAGGTAATCTTTCGTTCGAGAGAGGGGAGGATGTATTGAGACTGCTGAGGGAGTTGGAAGGCAGGATGAAGGAGAGAGGGTACGCGGGAGGGAGTCTCGGTTTGGTCTTCTTTGAGGTGGAACAGGAGGCCAAGGAAGAGATTGTGAGCCTCCATAGTGAGAGGCTGGCTCTGGCCTTTGCTCTGATTGTGATACCTAAAGGGATCACTATTAGGGTTATGAAGAACTTGAGGATGTGCAAGGATTGTCATGAAGCGTTCAAGGCGATCAGTGGAATTGTAGAGAGAGATTTCATTGTGCGAGATGTCAACAGGTTTCACCATTTTAGGGATGGATCTTGCAGTTGTGGGGATTTTTGGTAAAACGATGGAATTTGCTTACATTTCTCTCGCTGGTTTCTTTTCCTACACATGAGAAGTAATTCATTCCTAGGAGTGGAATCAACAAGATAGAAGGCAAGAAAGAGGTCTGTCGCCGGTTTCCATTGAGTAAAAATGCTTTGTGAGCCAGCTTCGCAGGTCTTGCTGGGACAACCAGAACAGAACTTTACAACATTCTGCAACTTGGAGAGTCGGACAGGCATGATCTCTGAGCTTGTTGCCTTGGATGGGCTCGAGTGTGTCTTCAGGCAGGTGGATACTAGAAACTGATGATCTCAGGGAGAAGTTGTTGGTCTCAATCACAGTTTGATTTAGCCGCCTTCCCCACCACCATCTCCGCCCTGTAGCTTTTGCCAGATGAAAGAGTGATCGCCGTGAATGGCTGACGCAGCAGAATCGACTGGTGTACGATAGTTTCATTGTTGTTGGCAGAGTAGTTTCAGACACTATGGTTGGACAAAGATAAACACTGATAGATAGGGCCTCGAATCGAAACCCAGAACGATTTGACGGTTCGCATCTCTAATAGAGATGATGGTGTGTTATATACTATATAGGCTATTCACCCAGGACAGCAAGGGTTCCCGTATTTGATACATTTCAAGGCATTAGGGCTGCAAACAGATGTCCTAACTCCTAAGCACAGTTCTGCTTATCCTTTTAAGAAAATGTACGAGACTGTGACCCCAACATCGAATCTCCATCGTAGCCTCATGGATAGGATAATATAACAGCGTAACCCTCTCGACCTTGTTGTGACTGGTGCCTCTTTTGAATAGTAACAAAAAGTTCCAGATACAATAGTAAATTGCATAGGCATTTGCAGAGACTCGTACTGAATACCAATTATCATTACTTCCAAATGAGACGCTGCTACAAGAATGAGTCGCTTTTGTACATGCGGATTAGATCCACTAAGGTAATCGAGTCTGTAGCAAAAGCCAAACTGAAGCCGCTTCACAAAATATAACCTATTCAAGACCTGATATGATGCAAGATCTTTACATTGCAGCAAGCGAAGGATTTCTGCGCTTAGTCTCCCACCTGTTGCGTACAACTGAGGCAAGAAACTACGGCGCAAACTGCTGCCATTTTCTATACTACCAAGAGCAAAGAATTTCATCATGGCTAAACTAGAAGCAAGTTCAGACCTTAGTGGCGTTTGCATACATAGAAAATAAGTGGGTAAGACGAAAGTAAAAGATGAATGGCCTTCACCAGGCCTGCTAACTCACTTGCAGCTATCGAATCAACCCTGTCAATCAAAATGCAACCCCACCACCCCCGAGTTTTCGTTCTTGTACTTAACGAACAAACAGTAGCAAGATCGCAATCTTTGTTCCAAAGAAGGAAACAGAACCAAATTGTTAGTGGAAAATTGCAACCTCGTACAAAAATGGAGTAAAATTGAGACACCCATGTGATGCTAAAACTAAAATGTGATGAGATTACATACCTGTAGCCTCTGTAGGAACCAAAACGGCGCTGCACCAGTTAGCTAAAGCAAATCGATACAGGCAATAGCCTTCTCCAAAAGAATTTCCATTTCTATTTCATTCATGTCAAAAATGGCGGCAAACCGGTGGCCTGTTGTTCATATACCAATAGTTCAGAACTTTCAGCCACCTCCTCAAAAATGGTTTGCCTACTGATTTCCAGTCACTATGCATTACTCTTTCAACCTCCTCGGTAACCTTTCCTTTCACTGACCCCAAAAAGAATTGAGTTACAAAATCTTCTGAACATCTCTTTTTAACGACTCCCGAGATTGTACACATGTACACAAAGATGTGGACTGTTTTGACCAGTATCTTTGCACATTCGGGTAGAATTCTCTAAGCGACACTTTTCTTCCCTTCCTCTTTGAGTAGAGCCCTCCTGTGGGAAGTAAACCAACAAAAACAGCAATATATATACAGGGTTTGATTTTATTTAATCTTTTTGGTATTATCCAAACCCGAACGATTTATAGCCTCCATTGCAAGCCGCAGTAGCTCTATGAGGCGTTCCACATCTTGGAAGCTAAAATCCAAAACTCCCTTGACAGAAGAAATCAACTCGGTCTTTGGTGACACTTCCGACGCTGAACTAAAAGCTATGAAAGCATTCTGGTATTTTCTTGCTGCTTCCATGGCAGAACCCATGTCCTGTGTCTGCAACATATAATAATAACATATGAATACTTCCAGTCATAAATTTAAATCTATACATAACAGATAAGTCATGCTTTAACTTCTGTTGATCTCCAATTCAACTTCTCGGTAAAGTTAAAGAGAGAAAATTACCTAAGCACACATTTTTCAATAGACCTCTACTAATGTCTGTAGGGGCTATAATCACACTACCAATAAGGCAGATAAGAACAGGCAACAGATTCAGTTGACTTACAAAGTTGATCAATCTAGCGAGACTGGCATGGTTTCTGGGCACAACAGTGGGGTTTCCAACAACATGAGGGAGTGTTCCCTTGGATAAAGGAGCCTTATCAACTGTGACATGAGTGCTTAAGTTATCGACATCCGATGCAGAGGAAGATGGTGAATCACCTAGACATTCAAAAACCATGTTGCATCAGTAATATTCATATCCACTATCACTGGAAGAGCAAAATTTTGACTTGAGACTAACATCTTGGAAATTGAAAATATACAAGGGGGTGAACATAAGATCTGCTACAAAAACCTTAAGCATGCAGCTTCCTTTTGTTGAATTACCTTGGATAGTTGTTTGCAGGAACCCATGCAACTCGTTCCGATCTTTAGTCAAGCTAGAACTTTTGCATGAAACCGCCCGGAAATATGCTACTTCCATGCCTTTATACGCCAGAGCAGCAGCAGCCATTTCATTCTGTTTTTCATATTCAAAGGCACACGATCTGGAAATGAAAATAAACTGCATAAGAGAATGGGTAGCAGCATGCTATTGCAATTTGCAAAGAAGCCTTCAACTCAGGATAGTGCAGTTAAAAAAGAGGATACAAGGCTTAAAGAGTACACATAAAACAGCGTTCTTAGTTTAACTGAAACACATGAAACAAGTATTAGATGAACAGTCTGGATACACACAAATTCACTGCATAAGTGCCCTCGCTGGCTATTATTTTGCCATTGCAAGCAGAAGAAAAAGTGGGAAAACCAAACAAAAACCAACAAACTTTATCATTCAATAAGGCTGAGACATTATCCGATACATAATCAAGAAAAGTGTCCACAAATTGAAGATTCTACTCTCAGCAGCTATAATTAGACACAGGGTATAGCATCAAGTGTTATCATTCTTTACTATTTGCATGAAGTTATAATAGCTTCATATTAACTTTATTCATTCACACCGGGTGGGGTGGGGGGGGGGGGGGGGGGGGGGGGGGGGGGGGGGAAATTACTCACTCAAAAAGCTTAGCCGTAGAAGAGTAGACTTGCATTGCAGTCATCTCTCCATGTTGACCGCCCTCAGAGCAGGAAGCTTCCAGAAGAAAAGCTCCGTGAAGGAATGCTAGAGCAGCTTGGAAATATGCTTCCCTACTTTCCAAATCAAAACCAGAGCTCTGAAAATTCAGGAAAAAAATCAACACCAGTCAGAGTAGCAAGCATGGTGATATCCAAACAGCTTGGACAACAGAAATTGGAGCAACCTTCATTCTATCAGCACAATCTCTCTGCTTTTGGGCTTTTTCCAAAGCATCACTAGCAGTCTGGCTAGAAGATTTTGTTTTCAAGGGACTCTTAGCACTATGACCTCTGGCCTCTCTGAAAGCAGATGGAAGCTGTTTCAAACTTTGACAAGCCTCGCCTTTGTTGCCAGGATTTCCAGGGTGTTGTTGCAAAGCCTTTGACATATCACCTTTCTCTGAGGCTTGACTAGACAGAACATGAAGTTCACCTGTCTGTTGAGAGCCCAGTACAGATTCATGACCCTGACTCCGAGGTTTACCTTTACCTTCAGCAAACGGGAGTACTTTTAGGATCCGGTTTCTGGAGTCTTCTCGTGTTGAACCTCGCTTATTGTCATCATCAGAATTAATCAAGGGGCTAACATTTCCATTCTTGCCAAGTGGTGTATCCAATTTTGCATCTGAATCATTACACTCTCCAGTATTCAACTGCAGTCTCAACCTGCTGTCTCTAGAGCATCGTCCGACAGAACTACTCCTTTTTGCATTATCCTCACTTTTACTAGGTTCGTCGCCAGAATTATCAGGACTATCTTGCTTCCTTTTACGAGCGAGGCTCGAAGATTTGGGCCACTGCTCACTCGGCACATCTGAAGCCTTCACTTTATCTTTAACAAACCCAGAAGTGGAAGCATTAGTACGAACCTTCACCAATGAAGATGAGCCGTTGCCCGTTTTGATCCGCAACAATGTGTATCCGCGATTGTTTTGCTTCTCTCTATTTACATCATGGATGTTCTTGGCATCGAGCAATTCGCTAGAACAACAGTGTTGTTGCTCCATACTTACGCTATTACCAACAGGCACAGTGGAAGATTTTGTTTTCCCACCGACTCTGTGATTAGCATGTCCATCTCTGTGATCTGATGGAAAATATTTGAGGGGTTGAGAATGAAAACTACCAGATGCTTTCTCCATCGAAGTGACTCCAGCTTCACTCAATTCACCATCACCACAAAGATCCCCGCATCTATTCACTTCAGCAAAGAAAGTTCTGCCATTTACAGCATTGTCTTTCCCAAGATTGCCCCCTCTGGCCATTCCAAGCTTCTCCTGCAACATGGCCTTATAGGGAGATGAAGAAACTGATTCTACTGGTGATCCTTTGAAGTCATCAGAGGTTGCTATAGTTTTACATGAATCCAAGACCTTTGAAGAGCTTGAATTGGTGGTCATAGCCACTTGTGCACTTACCACATTGTTTCTTGATGAATCAACCTTCCGTCTTTGTTTCTTAAGCAGCAGAGCACCCTTGTCAATATCTTTGACTTCTTCAAAAACATGCACAGGGTCATCATCAACGCCTTGGTAAACTATTGGGACCCCTCCCTCTTTGCTGAGTTTATCCTGAACAGTCTTAGTACCAGGCTCTCTAGCTACACGCTTCCTTAGTTTCTTTTCCTTGTTCAATTTACTACCAGAACTTTCTTCTGCACCGGAATTTGTTACAGCCCTGAGCCGAGTCTCTTGCCACTCCTTCAATTTTCTTTTTTTCAACCGATTTTCAGCTCTGTCAGGTATCCTAGCATTCAATGATCCACCATCTGGAGATATTTGAGCTTGGTGTCCCACCTTCACAGAGCCCGACAATCTTTCCTGAGAGTCACTCTTCACATCCCTCGCATAGGCACACTCTTTTGATAACTTGATCTGCTTTGCACCATCCTTAATATTTGGAACAGCTTTGGTACCGAGACTTGCCCTCCCCAGGTCAACAGATAGGCCACGGTGTGCAGCAATGTCCTCAGTCCTTGACTTCTTACATCTCCGCTCTGCAGCAATGTCATCAATCCTTAATTTCTTACATTTCCTGCCTGGAGTATGATCACTCTCACTCTTGTTAATCAATTTTGATTCTGCAGCTTCACCTGCTGACAACAGTTATGAACCAAAGTTTAGATAATCATCATCAGATAACTGATAGGTACATAAATTCTCCACGAGAGAAAACAAAAAGCAACTCATAAAAATAGTACATTTCAAGTTAGCTGTGGAAGTGCCCACAACCAAGTTCCCTGACTCACTCATGTGATGTGAACTGTATCTGTTCGCCAAACTGAGTTCAGCAACTGGCTGGCACATATCATTCAAGCTTCTGCTGTTCACAGAGTCCAGCAAGCGGCTCTTAGCAGAAGTTGATTTCTCGATGAAGCCATGGTTGCTGCGTGCTTTTGCTGTTTCCTTGACAACCTGCTTTTCTTTTCCCTCTGAAGACATGGCAAGCGAGTCAAGAGTCAAGTGATTCTGGCTATTACCTTGATTTGCAGTATTTGATCCTGATGCAACCCCATAACCGGGATTTTGTGGATCAATCTGATTAAATGTGTTAGTCATTTCCGCACTGATATCGCAGCTGTTCATTCCAGGCCTGAATATATTGTTCCAAATCAGAAAACCAGACTAAGTCAGCTACCATAACCACTTCCATCTTCTCATCAAATTCCTAGAAAATAAAAGGCTTTACAGTCGACTATAAGTGAAATCCATCCCTGCAGCTAAAACTGAATATATTTCGTAAAAGCAAAAGCCTTTTCATAAAGACAACGGTAGACCCAAAAAGAACCGAAAAGATATCTACAGAATCAGCTGCTCCAGTGAGGACTAGAACTCAATCCTAGCAAAACAATCAGCCATTTTTAACTTCCATAACTTTAATTGATTAAACCCTGTATCTATGAGATAACAACCATGACATAGAATACTAAAGAACAACTTACAGCCAGTCCAGCATACTACACGTCCACTTGTCTGGAAGATCCTCTGGCTTTCTGCCGAATGGTAGCAAACGCCAGGTTTCACATTCGTCACAGGCAACCCAATCTTCCTTGACTATCACAGGAGTAGCTCCAGATGCAGGAGGAAACACTTCAGTGACCACATTATCTTGAGGACCTACATGTGACACCCCATTGACAGACAGCCCAGACATCCGAAGCTTATCAACTCTTTTAACACTGGAACTTTCCTTCAATTTAGCACTTTGCTCCGCCTCTACAGTATTGATGCTAGAATTATTCAGTCTAAAAAGAGAGGGCAGACTAGAGCTATGATCCATTGGCCCCGCTCTATTGTGCACAGCAGCTCTCTGATTTTTTCTAGTTTTATCGATATTCTTCTTTGGCGAAAACTTGTGAACCGTATTGCTTCTTCCACGCACATCAAGGTCGATGTTTACAGTAGGATTAGGTGCTGTGACACTAACTGCATCAAACCTTTCCTTCTTTATAACAGCAGATGGATTTCTATGGCTTTCAGTTTGATGCAACTGCTTCTTGCCTTCAACCAGTTTCTTTTTCTTCCCACCTAGCTTGACAGCTTCAATTCCCTCTTTCCTGGAAGTCCCCTTTTCAACCTGACTTGTAGCTTCCTGGCTCAGTTTCAACAGAGCCCCTGCCTCCAAATCATCAACACAAGGTTTAAAAGGCACAGTGGATTTGACATATTTGATACTAACAAGCTTCCTTTGCTTTGTCAAACTATCCTTATTATTAACAGCGCGTTTCAAAGATTTCTTGCTTGAAAAAGCGTCAGCATCTCCCTTCTGAACCTTGCAACTAATTGGGGCTAATATTGACTCCAGAGATTCTTCCTTCAATATATCAGAAGGCAACAACTTATTCCTGAGCTCATCTTCATTAGTCTCCTCGGATAATAGAGAGGCGAGGCCAGGGCCCATGACTGGGTCGCGAGCACAAAGTGTATCCGAGAGAGCCACGGCTCTTGATCGGTTATATTTCGTATCCTTAGCTTCACTATGATCCTCTAGGTTCTTCATAGCGTTGCCACTTTTCATCTCCACTGCTGGTTCGATTTTCCCGGAGACATTAGTTTTCTCCATCTCACGACCCACCAAATTCCAACCAGAAATGGACTGATCCACGGATGGCCCTGGACACTTTTTGTTACTCTTAAGGACAATAATAGGTTGGGCGCTCCTGGAGAGCCCTTCCCTTTTACAGATACAAAGTAGACTATCATGTAGAGGTGATATCAGGCTACTCCCAGGAACAGGGAAAGAAGTCATTGCCTGATAAAAACGTGTGCACATCTTGTTAGATTCATCGCAGGCTGCAGTTAAAATAAACATTGAAGGGGTGTTACCTGCACAATGCTGGTAGGAGAACCATCTGCTTCAAATGATTCTAGCAGCATATCACTACCTTCATTGAGACAATTCCCGGATGACAAAGGTGGGGAATCTCCCAGCCCAAGACCACTATATATAGCTTCATTTTTATGAGCCATACTATCAGACCCAACTTTTATGCGGAACTTGAGCGACCTTTGGTCAGGTATGTTGCTTGATTGACTTGGATTTTCATCCCTCAAGTTGAACTTGTGACCAACTTGATTGGAGGATAAACAAGGATCTCGTTTAACAGAAACATTGTCAGATGTCATAGCTGGAGTATTCAATGCATTGGGCCCACAGGAAGCACCTCTATGTCTTGTCTGAGGTACACTTGGGGCTGGTTTGGACATCCACGAGCTACCCTGTAACATGATATAACACCAGGTCTTAACTATGGTTGCCCAAACTGACATAACAGGTGCCACAAATCTCTTCAAACAAAACAATATAAGCCAATGAACAGTCTTAAAGTTACCTTGAGTTGCAAATGGTTAGGAGATCTTGGCGAGTTTGAGATGTTTTGTGAAGTTTTTGGGTGTAACCAAATAGAGGATTCATCACCAAGCAAAAATGAGCCATACCCACCAAACATTTTCCCTGGCAAACAATTACAGTTTAGTACTAGTGTATCCGAGAAACAAAATTATCATACAATTCTGGTACGACTTATCAACTTGCATTACAAGTCACTTACCCAAATTCTCAGCAGAAACTCCACCCTCAAAGTCCTTCTGGAAATGGCCCAAAACATTTTGTAGCTTGTCATCCTTGAAGAAAAAGAAGGCCATAATTCAGTTCGCATGCAAAATATCAGAGGCTGATAAACAGAAGAGCTAAACTACAAATGGATTGCAGAGTACAAAATTCCAAATGGAATACAACAAATATCAGAGGATGATTAACAACTCGAAGGAGAATCTTGTCTATAGTATGACTATGAGAAGGATAACAAAGACAACTATCATAAGAAAACAAGAAAAAGACAAAGTAAGGGAATTAAGAAATTGATGCTCCAATCCAGCGCTAGAGAAGACATACAGACTGCATAAGAAGTTAGCATCGTGATATATGAACTGATCGCTTAACATACTGCATAGTTGACTTTCTAAGAATTTCTACAGACCACTTTTCCATTACTTTCAACACTTCCCATCTTCGTGAACTTTTCATCAGCTGCCACAAGATATGTTCCAATGAATCCATTGGCAGCGTAGTAGTTCAGACAACTTATATGGTATATAGCCAGAACAGGAACTCCTCACAAATAAGTGTAGTTTAACTGTTCTTCACTGTTTCATCATCACTGCAAAATATATATATATAGAACCCGACCCACCTAATTACTTGCATAATCCTACTCTGAAGCATGGTCTCGACCATGTTTTCAAATTTCAACTCCTGAGACCAAGTCCATCTTGTCCATGCTACTAAAGTACTGACCATGTAACAGTACAACAGACAAATTTCAGCACATTTTACTCCCAATTACTAGAACCCTAAATTTCATTCCAACAAAATGTTTGATTAGGAAAATTAGGCCCTTACAATGTAAGAGAGAGCAATGTCAGGGTCTATCTGTTTGTCCTTTTCGTCGTCATCATCGTCTCTGTAACAGCCAGCCTCTCCTTCCTCAAGCTCGTAAGTCTCTTCCATCTCCATTTCACCTTTACACAGATGAAAACGAAACCACAGAGAGAAGGAGGAGGAAACGAAAAAGAGGCCGTAACCCTAAGATTCCTTACACTATTCTCCAAAACCCTAACGCCAGCACCACGCCACCGTCCCTGAAGTCCAGCATCACTTTAAAAAAGCGGAGAAACACAAGCAAGCAAACAATGGCCGCTGTTGAGCATTCCCCATACGGCAACACAACGCCCAGAGAAGAGACGAAAACGACTCTCAGACCGACCGTCACGCCAGTGGGATTCTAACAAGAGACCGGGGGGGGGAAACTCTTCCCTATCGTTTCCCTGCGGGGAAATCACGATCGGCGGCCCGCCGATCGCAAGGCGAGTAATCGATCAGTTGAACTCGAGAATTCCCGGGTCGGTGGGGGGGCTGCGTCACTGCGGCGAGAAAATGGGACGTGGATGACTCCTCCGGCGGAAAAGGGGAAACCAAACAGAAGAACTTTCGCTGCGCCCTTACGGCGGAATTCTCTTCTTTTATTTTTCTGGTCCTTTTTTCCTCACCGATTCTTTCGATTGATGTGTACAGCAGCGAAAAGAAAGTGATGATTTGTTATTAATTCGCTCTCTTTTCACCCCCCTCGTTTTTCTTATTTGTTTTGTTTTTTATTATTATTTCAGAATTTGCAATATGAAAATGAAAACAGAAAATGGAATTATAAACAAAAATTATTATTATTATTCTCGATAAATGATAAACTATAATAATAAACTAGCGTGGGCCCCGGCCATTTGGCCGGAGGAAGATGAGGTATGAAATTTGATAATGTAATGGAGTGTATAGCTTATTGTTGTATACTTTTTTTTTTGGGAAACACGTGATAAAAATAGTGAATTTTAGTAGGAAAGAGACATGAATGATGCAACGAATCAAAAATCAGCCTTATGAACCAAAATCAAGTACCTGTTAGCTTGTGAAACAATATTGTTTCTGGTAATATGATGAGGTGGAGTAAGTTTTATAGAAACCGAATTCCAGAAAATCGATAAAAAATCTCCTATCCCGCCGGTTTTCGGGAAATGAGCATCTCACAATCGTTGCTAGCTTTTACTCGGCCCGTTGGCCGATTAATTTGTTTTATAAAACTTTCATCTTGTCATCATTGTGCTTTCTGGTTTTTTGCCAAGCCATGATAAAATCTAAAGAAATCAAGAATGAACAACACGATTTAGGATAGGAACCACCGTTCCTTTATCCCTAGAAAATGGTGGTAAACACGAACTCACCTGCCAAACTGGTTTGTATTGAGATTTTTATCGGGTATCAGGGAACCATGTGATTATAAATTAGACTTGATCAAAACAGGCCAAAACTTGAAATTCAGTATGTTTGACCGACCCATGCCAACCTCTAATTATTCTTTACTTTTAAACTTTCTTTTTGAAAATAAAAAAATAATGAAAGAAAAGAGATGACTGCAATTCGCCATTTGCACATCACTGATTCGGGAATAAAGCTATAGAATTTCTAAAGGAAACTGAAAATGTTTAGAATTGTTTTAATGAAATTAATGTTAAAAATAACCAAATAGATCTTTCTATTTAGTTTTTTACTAACAAATATCAAACGATTCCCTATAATATACACTATAATTTAATCATTATGATATCAAATAATTACATAATATATATTTGAAATGATACTAATTGAACTAATTGGGTTGGTCGAGGTTCATTGAATAACTTTAAAATACATTATATTTTAGCCACTAAGATATAAAATAATAGCATAATATATATTATGCTAGAGAAAATAGCTTGTTTTAGAATGACAAACCCATGATGTTTATTTGTATTACTTGATTGGCAAATCCCGTGTAGGTCAGACCTATTCAACTCTTTTATTTATGATTAGCGGTTAGCCCATTAGAATCCATGCATTAGTTTATTGTTAAATTTTTTTCTTTTTTAGCAATAAAAAGGAGTATTGTTTTTGCCTTTTCATATATATTTTACCACCACGGAGAAATAAAAGGACTTAAAGAACAAAATTGACACTCCCGGACTCGTTTAAATCCGCTTGTGTACGGTAAGTTGGCCCGTTCCACAGAGAAAAAGGAAAAAATTGACACTCCCTATTCTACCATTCCTGCAAACGCTCATGGAGCAGGGAATTTGAAATAGGGGAAGGGTTTTTTCCTCACTACGATTATATATTTTCAATTTAAAAAGATACAACAAACGTACTTAGTGTGATTGGTTATGATCTTTGCTTTTCTTTGAAGTGGCCATGGTTCGAATCCTAGTAAGTGTGTTTTTAATGAATAAAAAATAGTAATTGTGAAGACCAAAATGCCCTTCCTACTTTCACTCTGGATGCAGGAAATTTGAAATGGGGCTTCAAGTTTTCTCATTTGGCTTTTATTTATTGTGTAGATTTTTTTTTTTTTGCCGCATATAATAATAATATTCGTGGGTGCGTATCCAGGTGAATATTTTCGAACCATTAATAAGCGCGAAACAGACATGCTTCCCCGCGCGTGGGGAAACAGGGGGCGGACTGAAAGTGAAACCCGAGAGATCACTGCCGGGAAGGCGGCGGGAACGGCGCCGTGTGGCACCAGGGAAGTTGGGCTGTGGCTGTACTTTCTGATTGGGCCTTTTCATTTTATTTTTTGTATAATTTTTTTTGGGTAGAATATTGGGCTTTTACTAGTTAGGATTGTCTGTGTGCAACTGGGCTTTTTCTTTCTCACCGTTGTCCGGCGCTTGCAGTTGGAACAGCTTTTCTTCTCGTGTGGGTTACCGTTTGGGCTCGTTTTGCGCTTCGTGGGCAATGGTATGATGATAAATGGTTCAAGTAACTCTAGAATTCGAATTCAATTAAACGGGTGTACACATTATAAAAGTTCGGTAAAATACTTGTTGAGTTTTAAAAGTTCGGTACCAGTTCGGTAAATTATGAGTTCACGAACATAATTAAATATTATTTCTTCAAGTACCTTTACTGTGCTATCAAAATTTTACCTACAAATATATCTCCACAAAAACTATTTTTGTGTAAAATTGGGTATAACTGTGGTTCAACCATTCTATATCACTAAAGACCGCCAAACGGAGGTATTCATAATCCTTGGTGTAGACACACTACACTAGAACAAGGATTGTGAAACCTTACAGAAGGTTGTACCTAAAAACTCAGCGATAAAGTATTTTATAGTGAAGTCGTGGTTTTTAACAGCTCCATACCATTAAAAACCGCCTACTGGCTTAACCTCCCGTAAGAAGTTTTTTTTTTTTTTGTCGAACCGCCGGTACACTATGATTTCAAAAACACTCCATTGGAAAAACAACCACAAAACAATTGTTTTGTCATAAACGAGTTGGTCTCAATAACTCGAGTTGATGGGAGAAGGTTATTATAGATCTTATATAACTCTCTTCCACACTCCCTCAAATGAAAGTCAACTCACGAACCTGGAGTTTGTATTGAGAATAAAATAAATTCAAAAATACAAACCCACTTGACCAAACCACTCCTACACTATATCATAAACTAGTTAATACCAATAATTTGAATCAATGAGTAAAGATACCACCATTAGGCATTAGGGCTAAAAGTTTGGTACCGGTATTTGGGATATACCGAACCGAATTTGTCGATATGTGGTATTACCAAATACATGTATTGTTTTTGGGATTGAATTTGAAATATTATTTGCTATTAGAAATTACGGGAGTGTGGGATTAAGATAGACATATACCAAAATACAATTTAGAATTAAATTTAGGATACAATTTATTATTCAGTATTTCATTATTTGGTTTGTGAATACCGATACTCTACCAATTTCCATCCCTAACCACTAGGTTACATTACATGTTTCCTCTCATATCGTATTGCCACCGCCTTCCACTTGGAAGAAGGAAGACGAAAAAATTAAAACACCGGATACTTCATGGGGAGCAAAACTGCAAAAGAAAGGAGGAAAAGGGAAAGAGTAATACTTATATATTTTTTTCGGGAACGACGGCGATGTGGGTGATGAACTGATGATGGGTTTGAGTCTGCAGAGCATGCTGGATTTGGTGGCAACTGGGATCTCTGTAATGATAGGTCTCGGCATCTTCACCTTCGTTGCTTCCATCCTCTACTCCGC